GGTACCCGGTAGGATGCGACCGTTGGTCAAACAGTTATTGAGCGTCATGTATTACGCCTGGCTGGAATGCTCCCCAGGGAGTGGAGATTGTGCACACGTTGTGTGCGGGCAAGCACTGAATCCAATCAGCGGGGTAATAGTATATTTGTAAAGCGCTTAGAAACATTTGTATTAAGCGCTATATAAAAATTAAATATTATTATTATTATTATTATTATTAAATATTTTTAGAAGTAAGCTTTAATAATTTTGTCGCATCCTCAAAAGACGTAAATCGCGACAGATCAATTTTCACATATTTTTAAAATGACAAAACTTGGTAAGGGTATGAATAAATAATTTGTTAACTGTGCATATAATATGTTTTCCCAATAAAAGTATGCATTCAGAAACATTACCTTGGAAATGGTTGGTCGTAAATTTATCGATTGTTAAAAGAAAGTCTGTTTCAATATAGATTGCCCTTGTAGTCATACTGCTGTTTTCTTCATTTTGACAAATAGTCGTTAAAAAAAATAAATTAAAAAAAAAGAAGAAAATATACCGTGTTTCATGTCAATGACAGTATGCAAAGCTTATTACGATTTAATATCATATTAAAGGTATTACAAGTTTTGGTAGGGGGTCATGAATTTGCTTCCTATGAACATATTGGAAGCATATGTGATCCTACAATATTCAGTGATCGTTGTCGCGGTTGAAATCGAGTCTAAAGTGATGAAAATTTAAATAATAAGCTCTTTATGTTGTATAGCTCCATCTCAAGGTCAAGATATTGATATAGCTATAATAAATATTTCTTGACTAAAATCTACCGATTTGCTATCCCCATTTTTAAATTATATATCACAACTGCATATTCTGAGATTTTCATGGTCGCAGCTATCATTGTATGGCCGTAGGCGCTATTTGAAATTTATCATAATTTACCGGGAGCACCGGTAAATTTTGATATTCATTATATCTCGAAATCATAAGTGTTTCACGGGCTATTTTTTTTTAGAGCTTATAATACATCCGCAGGGGCATCCAAATATATCAAAATTGTAAGGAATCAATATCCAGCCCATTTTCAAAATTTACCAAAACTTTGTATTACCTTTAAGAATTCAATAGGCGAATATAGCAGCATGATACATCCTTTTCATAATTCTGTCTGAAGCCAAATGAGTCGTCTAAAGAGACTAGTAACTATGCTCAACACAATTCTATTTTCTTTATAAGCCAAATCCTGCCTTTTGTCTTTTTAGAGCGGACCTTCTCCTCCGAACCCAAACCAAGTGTAGAGAGGAACGAGAAAGCTGATTCCACGCAGGATTAAAGGACAGTCCTGAGGACTGCTGCTTGCCAAATGACAACGACTTTAGTCTTTTACTATTAACGACAACGAATGCCGACCAATCTTAACAATGAATTTCTTTATGATGATACAGGGCTTCTATGTAGTTCATTTTCTTCTATACGATTATCAAAGAGATGAGATTGGGTATAACGCAACGGAATACATGAAAACCAAGTGCACGTTACATCACTCGGTTTTTTTAGTTCAACATTCTTTGATCTGTTAATAGAGTAACCGGCTGCATGTTTTAACTTTGATTCAGAAATGAAGAACTGTGTATTAACAGTATCTTATTTAAACCATTGACCGTTAAATTTTCTCAATCCCAAGAACTACCTGTCTCCGGTTGAGAATGGGATAACACTCTTTTCCGATTGTATAATGTAGTTTATTTGCTCGACACTGTACATATAACGAAATCTTGGATGATTCGAAAATCATCATTACATATTCATTAGTTTTGTTTCTTTTAAGGATATATCACATCTTTCTCTCGGGAAGGGGTAATGATGAAATTGCTAGTAGAGGTGATTAATATGTTTATGATCATGAAAATAAATATTTGCAAAAAAAAAAAAAAAAAACTCAAGTGGCTCATTTGTATTTCTTTCTTACATGTCACGTTATTATTTATTATAAGTTTAACATTCTTCATGCTCTTCTCGGGAGGATATGAAATTGATTCGTGTGTGTATAGGCCTTCATATGATGGTGGGGTCGTGTGTGGGTGCGGGTGTGTTATATCATACACCCGCACAAAACCACACACACACGCACACACACACGCACACACACACACACACACTTTTTTCTCCAATAGTTGTTTTTTAATAATTCCAAACAATAAAAATCAATCTTAGAAATAAACACACACACACGCACACACACAAACCATGTATGTATGCATGTAAATGGTCTACGTAAGGTTTATATAAAGATGTATACAGAGAGAGAGAGAGAGCAGAGAGATAGGTGAGGGGAGGTCAGATAGAAAAGAAAAGTAAACACAAAAAGAGGGAGGGAGGAAAAGGAAAAGCGAGAGAAAGGGAAATGTATAGGGAAGAGAGAAAATAATGATAAAATAAACTCCTAGAGGTGGAGGGGAGGTAAAAGTAGGGTGAAAAAAGAGAGGTAGAGTAGATGGAGGAGAGGTAGAGTAGATGGAGGAGAGGTAGGGTAGATGGAGGAGAGGTAGGGTGGATGGAGGAGAGGTAGGGTGGATGGAGGAGAGGTAGGGTGAATGGAGGAGAGGTAGGGTGGATGGAGGAGAGGTAGGGTAGATGGAGGAGAGGTAGGGTGGATGGAGGAGAGGTAGGGTGGATGGAGGAGAGGTAGGGTAGATGGAGGAGAGGTAGGGTGAATGGAGGAGAGGTAGGGTGGATGGAGGAGAGGTAGGGTAGATGGAGGAGAGGTAGGGTGAATGGAGGAGAGGTAGGGTGGATGGAGGAGAGGTAGGGTGGATGGAGGAGAGGTAGGGTAGATGGAGGAGAGGTAGGGAAGATGGAGGAGAGGTAGGGTGAATGGAGGAGAGGTAGGGTGAATGGAGGAGAGGTAGGGTGGATGGAGGAGAGGTAGGGTGAATGGAGGAGAGGTAGGGTAGACGGAGGAGAGGTAGGGTGAATGGAGGAGAGGTAGGGTGGATGGAGGAGAGGTAGGGTGAATGGAGGAGAGGTAGGGTGGATGGAGGAGAGGTAGGGTGAATGGAGGAGAGGTAGGGTGGATGGAGGAGAGGTAGGGTAGATGGAGGAGAGGTAGGGTGAATGGAGGAGAGGTAGGGTGGATGGAGGAGAGGTAGGGTAGATGGAGGAGAGGTAGGGTAGATGGAGGAGAGGTAGGGTGAATGGAGGAGAGGTAGGGTGAATGGAGGAGAGGTAGGGTGGATGGAGGAGAGGTAGGGTGAATGGAGGAGAGGTAGGGTAGACGGAGGAGAGGTAGGGTGAATGGAGGAGAGGTAGGGTGGATGGAGGAGAGGTAGGGTGAATGGAGGAGAGGTAGGGTGGATGGAGGAGAGGTAGGGTGAATGGAGGAGAGGTAGGGTGGATGGAGGAGAGGTAGGGTAGATGGAGGAGAGGTAGGGTGGATGGAGGAGAGGTAGGGTGAATGGAGGAGAGGTAGGGTGAATGGAGGAGAGGTAGGGTGGATGGAGGAGAGGTAGGGTGAATGGAGGAGAGGTAGGGTGAATGGAGGAGAGGTAGGGTGGATGGAGGAGAGGTAGGGTAGATGGAGGAGAGGTAGGGTGGATGGAGGAGAGGTAGGGTGAATGGAGGAGAGGTAGGGTGAATGGAGGAGAGGTAGGGTGGATGGAGGAGAGGTAGGGTGAATGGAGGAGAGGTAGGGTAGACGGAGGAGAGGTAGGGTGAATGGAGGAGAGGTAGGGTGGATGGAGGAGAGGTAGGGTGAATGGAGGAGAGGTAGGGTGGATGGAGGAGAGGTAGGGTGAATGGAGGAGAGGTAGGGTGGATGGAGGAGAGGTAGGGTGAATGGAGGAGAGGTAGGGTAGACGGAGGAGAGGTAGGGTGAATGGAGGAGAGGTAGGGTGGATGGAGGAGAGGTAGGGTGGATGGAGGAGAGGTAGGGTGGATGGAGGAGAGGTAGGGTGGATGGAGGAGAGGTAGGGTGAATGGAGGAGAGGTAGGGTGGATGGAGGAGAGGTAGGGTGGATGGAGGAGAGGTAGGGTGGATGGAGGAGAGGTAGGGTGGATGGAGGAGAGGTAGGGTGAATGGAGGAGGGGTAGGGTGGATGGAGGAGAGGTAGGGTGGATGGAGGAGAGGTAGGGTGGATGGAGGAGAGGTAGGGTGAATGGAGGAGAGGTAGGGTAGACGGAGGAGAGGTAGGGTAAATGGAGGAGAGGTAGGGTGGATGGAGGAGAGGTAGGGTGGATGGAGGAGAGGTAGGGTGGATGGAGGAGAGGTAGGGTGGATGGAGGAGAGGTAGGGTGGATGGAGGAGAGGTAGGGTGGATGGAGGAGAGGTAGGGTGGATGGAGGAGAGGTAGGGTGGATGGAGGAGAGGTAGGGTGGATGGAGGAGAGGTAGGGTGGATGGAGGAGAGGTAGGGTGGATGGAGGAGAGGTAGGGTAGATGGAGGAGAGGTAGGGTGGATGGAGGAGAGGTAGGGTGAATGGAGGAGAGGTAGGGTGGATGGAGGAGAGGTAGGGTAGATGGAGGAGAGGTAGAGTAGATGGAGGAGAGGTAGGGTGGATGGAGGAGAGGTAGGGTGGATGGAGGAGAGGTAGGGTGGATGGAGGAGAGGTAGGGTGGATGGAGGAGAGGTAGGGTGGATGGAGGAGAGGTAGGGTGGATGGAGGAGAGGTAGGGAGGATGGAGGAGAGGAAGGGTGGATGGAGGAGAGGTAGGGTGGATGGAGGAGAGGTAGGTATGATGGAGGGGAGGTAGAGGTAGGGTAGATGGAGGAGAGGTAGGGTGGATGGAGGAGAGGTAGGGTGGATGGAGAAGAGGTAGGGTGGATGGAGGAGAGGTAGGTATGATGGAGGGGAGGTAGAGGTAGGGTAGATGGAGGAGAGGTAGGGTGGATGGAGGAGAGGTAGGGTGGATGGAGGAGAGGTAGGGTGGATGGAGGAGAGGTAGAGTAGATGGAGGAGAGGTAGGGTAGATGGAGGAGAGGTAGAGTAGATGGAGGAGAGGTAGAGTAGATGGAGGAGAGGTAGGGTGGATGGAGGAGAGGTAGAGTAGATGGAGGAGAGGTAGAGTAGATGGAGGAGAGGTAGAGTAGATGGAGGAGAGGTAGGGTGAATGGATGAGAGGTAGGGTAGATGGAGGAGAGGTAGGGTGGATGGAGGAGAGGTAGGGTGGATGGAGGAGAGGAAGGGTGGATGGAGGAGAGGTAGGGTAGATGGAGGAGAGGAAGGGTGGATGGAGGAGAGGTAGGGTGGATGGAGGAGAGGAAGGGTGGATGGAGGAGAGGTAGGGTAGATGGAGGAGAGGTAGGGTGGATGGAGGAGAGGTAGGGTGGATGGAGGAGAGGTAGGGTGGATGGAGGAGAGGAAGGGTGGATGGAGGAGAGGTAGGGTAGATGGAGGAGAGGTAGGGTGGATGGAGGAGAGGTAGGGTGGATGGAGGAGAGGTAGGGTGGATGGAGGAGAGGTAGGGTGAATGGATGAGAGGTAGGGTAGATGGAGGAGAGGTAGGGAGGATGGAGGAGAGGTTGGGTGGATGGAGGAGAGGTAGGGTGGATGGAGGAGAGGTAGGGTGGATGGAGGAGAGGAAGGGTGGATGGAGGAGAGGTAGGGTGGATGGAGGAGAGGTAGGTATGATGGAGGGGAGGTAGAGGTAGGGTAGATGGAGGAGAGGTAGGGTGGATGGAGGAGAGGTAGGGTGGATGGAGGAGAGGTAGGGTGGATGGAGGAGAGGTAGAGTAGATGGAGGAGAGGTAGGGTAGATGGAGGAGAGGTAGAGTAGATGGAGGAGAGGTAGAGTAGATGGAGGAGAGGTAGGGTGGATGGAGGAGAGGTAGGGTGGATGGAGGAGAGGTAGGGTGAATGGATGAGAGGTAGGGTAGATGGAGGAGAGGTAGGGAGGATGGAGGAGAGGTAGAGTAGATGGAGGAGAGGTAGGGTGAATGGATGAGAGGTAGGGTAGATGGAGGAGAGGTAGGGTGGATGGAGGAGAGGTAGGGTGGATGGAGGAGAGGTAGGTATGATGGAGGGGAGGTAGAGGTAGGGTAGATGGAGGAGAGGTAGGGTGGATGGAGGAGAGGTAGGGTGGATGGAGGAGAGGTAGGGTGGATGGAGGAGAGGTAGAGTAGATGGAGGAGAGGTAGGGTAGATGGAGGAGAGGTAGAGTAGATGGAGGAGAGGTAGAGTAGATGGAGGAGAGGTAGGGTGGATGGAGGAGAGGTAGGGTGGATGGAGGAGAGGTAGGGTGAATGGATGAGAGGTAGGGTAGATGGAGGAGAGGTAGGGTGGATGGAGGAGAGGTAGAGTAGATGGAGGAGAGGTAGGGTGAATGGATGAGAGGTAGGGTAGATGGAGGAGAGGTAGGGTGGATGGAGGAGAGGTAGGGTAGATGGAGGAGAGGTAGAGTAGATGGAGGAGAGGTAGGGTGGATGGAGGAGAGGTAGGATGGATGGAGGAGAGGTAGGGTGGATGGAGGAGAGGTAGGGTGGATGGAGGAGAGGTAGGGTGGATGGAGGAGAGGTAGGGTGGATGGAGGAGAGGTAGGGTGGATGGAGGAGAGGTAGGGTGGATGGAGGAGAGGTAGGGTGGATGGAGGAGAGGTAGGGTGGATGGAGGAGAGGTAGGGTAGATGGAGGAGAGGTAGGGTGGATGGAGGAGAGGTAGGGTGGATGGAGGAGAGGTAGGGTGGATGGAGGAGAGGTAGAGTAGATGGAGGAGAGGTAGAGTAGATGGAGGAGAGGTAGAGTAGATGGAGGAGAGGTAGAGTAGATGGAGGAGAGGTAGGGTGGATGGAGGAGAGGTAGAGTAGATGGAGGAGAGGAAGGGTGGATGGAGGAGAGGCAGGGCGGAGGGGAAGTAGAGGTAAGGTGGATGGAGGAGAGGTAGGGTAGATGGAGGAGAGGTAGGGAGGATTGAGGAGGGATAGGGTGGATGGAGGAGAGGTAGGGTGGATGGAGGAGAGGTAGGGTGGATGGAGGAGAGGTAGGGAGGATGGAGGAGAGGTAGGGAGGATGGAGGAGGGATAGGGTGGATGGAGGAGAGGTAGGGTGGATGGAGGAGAGGTAGGGTAGAGGGAGGAGAGGTAGGGAGGATTGAGGAGAGGTAGGTTAGATGGAGGAGAGGTGGAGTGGGTGGAGAAGAGGTAGGGTGGATGGAGGAGAGGTAGGGAGGATGGAGAAGAGGTAGGGAGGATGGAGGAGGGATAGGGTGGATGGAGGAGAGGTAGGGTGGATGGAGGAGAGGTAGGGTAGAGGGAGGAGAGGTAGGGGGATGTAGAAGAGGTAGGGCGGAGGGGAGGTAGAGGTTTGGGTGGATGGAGGGGTGGTAGAGGTAGGGCGGATGGAGGGGCGGCAGAGGTAGGGTGGATGAATGAGAGGTAGAGTGGATGGAGGAGAGATAAAGTGGAAGGAGGAGAAGTAAGGTGGAAGGAGGAGAAGTAAGGTGGAAGGAGGAGAAGTAGGGTGGATGAAGGAGAGATGGGTACGTGGGAGGTAGGTTGGATGGAGGAGAGGTAGGGTGGATGGAGGAGAGGTAAAGTGGAAGGAGGGGTAAGGTGGAAGGAGGAGAAGTAGGGTGGATGAAGGAGAGAGTGGTACGTGGGAGGTAGGTTGGATAGAGGAGAGGTAGGGTGCCGAGAGAGTGGATGGAGGAGAGGTAGGGTGGATGTAGAAGAGGTAGGGCGGAGGGTAGGTACAGATTTGGGTGTATGGAAGGGTGGTAGAGGCAGGGGCGTCGCCTAAGGGGGATGTGGGGGGTGCGACAGGTGCGACAGGTGTGTCAGGATATTGTCGGTAAAATTGCGCTGCCGTCGGGAAAAAGAGAAAAGGGGGAGGGAAAAAAAGAGAGGGAAAAAAGAGAGGGAAAAAAGAGAGGGTAAAAAGAGAGGAAAAAAAGAGAGGGAAAAAAAGAGAGGGAAAAAAAGAGAAGGAAAAAAAGAGAGGGAAAAAAAAAGAGGGAAATAAGAGAGGAAAAGGAAAGAAAAAAAAGAAGAGGAAAAGAAAAGAAAGAAAGGAAAAGAAAGGAAAGAAAGGGAAAGAAAGGAAAGAAAAGAGAAGAAAGAAAGAGAAAAAAAAGAGGGAGGAGAGGAAAGAAAGGAAAAGAAAGAAAAGAAAGAAAAGGAAAAAAAGAAGAATAAAGAGTGAAAGGGAAACAAAAGAAACGGGGGATGAAAGAGAGGAGAGAGAGGGAAGGTAAGAGTCTGAGAGAGAAGGAGTGGGAGTAAAAGAGAGAAGGGGGTTGTTGGGCGGAGTCGTCTCGTCGAGGGAGCAACAAAGACACGGGCAAATATGTTGCTATGTCGGGTCAGCTGTGTCGGTATGCTTGCTCGATCCTCGTGTATATATCAATGCAGAAGTATGAAGTCGGTGAGATGTATATTGTCGGTCGGCCGACAATTTTTTTTCCCTACGAACTGTGACTTCTTATCCGCTGTGACGACTTCGAGAGTGACTACAACTACATTACAATATTTTCTCGAAGTTTTACTTTCCTATAATACCAGCTAAAGAAATCAGAGGTTTAAAATTTTCGGGGAAACTAAATTCAAACAAGGTTTAAGAGGTCAACAACGGTACGACGAATCGTCTTCCTTTCTTTATATTGTGATGAAACGCCAAAAATTCCGGAAGGGGAAACTTCATTAAACGAGTCGAGAACGGTATAACGAATCGTCTTCTTTTTCTAAGAATTTAAGGAAACGTCAAAGCTTCGCGAAAGTGGGAAATTGAATTCAGACAAATAGGACTTACTAAAAGTCGAAAACGGTACAACGAATCGTGTTCTTTCTCTAATAATTTAATAATTTAAGGAAACGTCAAAGCTTTCGCGCTTTGCGCGAGAGGGGGAAACTGAATTCAGATGAATAGGGCTTTAATAAGAGTCGAAAACGGTACGATGAATCGTCTGCTTTCTCTAATAATTTAATGAAACGTCAAAGCTTTCGCGCTTCGCGCGGGTGGGGCGGGACGAAACTTCATTCAGCCAAGGATTACCAGTCGAAAACGGTACACCGCATCGTCTGCTTTTTCTCATAATTTAATGAAACGTCACAGCTCTATATTGTGATGAAAAGCCAAAAATTCCGCGCTTCGCGCGGAAGGGGAAAACTTCATTTAGAGTCGAGAACGGTACAATGAATCGTCTTCTTTCTCTAATAATTTAAGGAAACGTAATAGCTTCCGCGCTTCGCGCGAGAGGGGGAACTGAATTCAGACAAAATCGATAGGGCTTATTTAGAGTCGAAAACGGTACAACGAATCGTGTTCTTTCTCTAATGATATGAGGAAACGTCAAAGCTTTCGCTCTTCGCGCGAGAGGGGGAAACTGAATTCAGATGAATAGGGCTTATTAAGAGTCGAAAACAGTACGACGAATCGTCTGCTTTCTCTAATAATTTAATGAAATGTCAAAGCTTTCGCGCTTCGCGCGGGGCGAAACTTCATTCAGCCAAGGATTACCAGTCGAAAATGGTACACCGAATCGTCTGCTTTTTCTCATAATTTAATGAAACGTCACAGCTTCCGCGCTTTGCGCGGGAGGGGGGGGGGGATACCGAATTCAGAAAAGGATAAACAGTCGAGAACGGTACAGCAAATCGACTTATTTTTTATAATAATTTAATGAAACGTCAAAGCTTTCGCGCTTCGCGCGGGAGGGGCGGGGGGAAACTTCATTCAGCCATGGATTGCCAGTCGAAAACGGTACAATTAATCGTCTTCTTTTTCTAATAATTTAAGGAAACGTCTAAGCTTCCGCGCTTCGCGCGAGGGACCCATCACCCACACCCCCTAATGAGCGCGCTTTTAAGTGATTCTCTTGCTCACTACCGCCCCTCCCTAAAATAAGATCCTAGCTCCGCGCTTTAAAATTTATAGCTATGACGCTGACTAAATTGAAGAAATAATTCGTATATTTATGTCGTCGAGGAAAATGACCAATTTCCGCATATGCAAGTACTATAGATAGTCCATAGGAAAAACAATTTAGCCTTCGGCCCCAGGTTTATAGGGTTGAATTTGTAGATATTAGAAATTTAATTTTGTCGGTAATTGGTGGCTACTTTTGTCGGTAATCGTTGGCCTCTACTACCCCCCCCCCCCCACTGCAAAAGGTCTAGCGACGCCCCTGGGTAGAGGTAGGGCGGATGGCGGGGCGGTAGAGGTAGGGTGGATGAATGAGAGGTAGGGTGGATGGAGGAGAGATAAAGTGGAAGGAGGAGAAGTAAGATGGAAGGAGGAGAAGTAGGGTGGATGAAGGAGAGATGGGTACGTGGGAGGTAGGTTGGATGGAGGAGAGGTAGGATGGATTGAGGAGAGGTAGGGTGGAGGGTAGGTAGAGATTGGGGTGGTTGGAGGGGTGGAAGAGGTAGGGTGGATGAAGGAGAGGTAGGGTGAATGGAGGATATGTAGGGTCTAGGGAGGAGAGATGGGTACGTGGGAGGTAGGTTGGAGGGAGGAGAGGTAGGGTGGATGGAGGAGAGATTGGGATGGTGGAGGGGAGGTTGAGGTAGGGTGGGTGGAGGAGAGCAAGGATGGAGCAGGTGGTAGATGTATTGTAGAGGGGTGGTAGGAGTAGGCTTGAGGGTTTGTATAGGATGGGGTGGATGGAGAGGGAGAGGTAGGGTGGAAGGAGGAGAGGTAGGATGGATGGAGGGGATGTAGGGTGGATGTAGGGGATGGAGGGGATGGATGGGATGTAGGGGGATGGAGGGGATGTAGGATGGATGGAGGAGAGGTAGGGTGGATGGAGGGGATGTAGGGTGGATGGAGGAGAGGTAGGGAGGATGGAGGGGATGTAGGGTGGATGGAGGAGAGGTAGGGTGGATGGAGGGGATGTAGGGTGGATGGAGGGGATGTAGGGTGGATGGAGGGGATGTAGGGTGGATGGAGGAGAGGTAGGGTGGATTGAGGAGAGGTAGGGTGGATGGAGGGGATGTAGGGTGGATGGAGGGGATGTAGGGTGGATGGAGGAGAGGTAGGGTGGATGGAGGGGATGTAGGGTGGATGGAGGAGAGGTAGGGTGGATGGAGGGGATGTAGGGTGGATTGAGGAGAGGTAGGGTAGAGGGAGAAGAGGTAGGGTGGATGTAGAAGAGGTAGGGTGGATGGGGGAGAGGTAGGGTGGATGGAGGAGAGGTAGGGTCTAGGGAGGAGAGGTAGGGTGGATGGATGAGAGAGAGGGTGGATGGAGGAGAGGTAGGATGGATGGAAGGGAGGTGG